TTATTTGTACCTCTCAGTTCATACTAGATATATCTTGTATAAAGGTGTCAGTATCAAAGTTTTTAAAACATCTTCTAGAGTTTTTAATACTCTTTTTTTTTGGGGTAATACCAGGAATACAAAGAAACTGGGCCATGTGGTCTGAAATTGTTAGATTGCCAGAGATTGTTTCAGGAGAATAGGAGTTTATAAAAATATTATCAATGAGAGTTTTGGTTTTTGAAGTTATAGGTGTTGAAAGAATAATGGTTGGAAAAAGCAAGCAAGAGCATAATATTTGAAGATAATTAGAAACAATTATTGTTATTAAATTAATTATAGAGAACCTCCTTGGTTCTCTATAATTAAATAATTATAGAGAACCAAGGAGGTTCTCTATAATTATTTAAGTCCATGTTGAAATCACCCTTTAATATAATTTTATTTTTTCATAACTTAACTTCTCAAGTAAAGGAGTTAAATAGTTTGCGATGAATTCTTTTGAATATAAAGTTGGGTGACGATATATGCAGCCAAATAAAGTATTGGTTTTATGAGGGTTAATAGCTTCAATCATCACGAAATACATAATTACGACTAGAACTTAGATAAAGAAGAGCCCCACCTCTTTTTGACTCAGTAGGACAATGTTTAGTGTAAAATCCATTTATGGTAATATCAGTTATATTTGAGCTTTTTATATATAAATTTGATTCAGTAATTCCTATCACCATAGGGGAAGTGTAAGGAGTACCAATAAGGCTACGAAGATTGTCAATATGTTGAGGTAAGGAAGCAATATTGAGATCAGAATATATATCAGCATCAGGATTTAAAGAATTATTAAATTTAGTAACATCAAGATATTTACAATAATTGATGGATTGTATACATTATTCATATCTCCATATAGACTTTTTAGGTGAGCAGGAGATTCAAGAGATTTTAATAACTTTAGTGTAAGATTCTTGCATAAAAGTGTAAGCCTAAGTTCTTGATCATAATGGGTACTAAATGGTTTATTTTTGGAAATTGATTCAGAGCAATACCATTCTAAAGAGTCATTGGAGATGTTATATTTATGCTTATTGATTAGATTGCATTTTGTGTGAAAAAAAAGAGTAGCAGTTACATTGAATGATTCTCTGGTTTTTGGACACATTTATTTTTTGCATAGTTTACAGGATTGTTTTAATACCATACTTCATAAATTAATATTTATGATTTACATATAAGTCAATTAGAAGTTTCTAAGCATATAGAGATAATGCAAAAAAATGATAAAGCAACAAATTGAAATGATAAAGCAAAGCTGAAATGATAAAGCATAGGATTTAATGGATTAGGTAGTTATAAGTCAATTTATTTGTGTAATATATTATTAATGTATAAAGTATGTGTATACTATCTTTTTATAATAGCATTTTACACGGAGTTAAAAAGAGAAACTTTATATTATAGTCATAACTGAAAAATATAAGTTCAGAAAACTTAGTAATAATTTGTTTTTAAGTATATAGGGGTAATTAAGCAATATAACAATAAAATAAAAATTATAATTAAGAAATATAATTTTATGATATTGGTAAATACACTAATATTATTAGGTAATAATACATATTTGTATACATATATTTGTAAATATATAAGTATAAAACTATATAATTACACAAACTTATTATATATATGGAATATAAACATGGAATATGAATTTATAAGAATAAAGAAACTATATAAATCAATATAAAATTTACACTAATAAATTAATATAGAGTTTAATAAATACAATACATAAACTATACACACGTACAAATATAAACATACACACACATATATATATACACATATATCAGTTACACAATATATATATATATATATATATATATATATATATATATATATATATATATATATATATATATATATATATATATATATATATATATATATATGTATGATATATATATATATATATATATATATATATATATATATGTATATATATATATATATATATATATATATATATATATATAAATATATATATATATATATATATATATATATATATATATATATATATATATATATATATATATATATATACAAATTAACAATATGTAATGAAAAATTGTGTGAATTGTAAAGATCAGAAACAAATTTAACTTCTGTTTTATTTTTATATTGTTAATAAAGGTTAGTATAGTCTTATATAAGAAAGCTTGCTATTTTGAGCATATATCAGGTGTACCAGGATATCAAGGTTTTATGCAATACAATAATCAATACACTTACTCCTCTCTTGATAATAACAATTTATTAAAATAAAATATACAAAATAAAATACAATAACAATAATATTATAATAGAAAATTAAATAAATAAAAAAACTGATAGTCTTGTTAGTATTTAATAATCTTGCTAATGTGAACCAAGGCCAGTAGAATCAGATGATTGAAAACCTTTGTATGCTTAAATTAGATTCAATGTAACACCAGTTCAAACAATGTGAAGCACGCTTTAGTCTTATTTCAATATATTTCTATTTTGTAACAATGTCTGCTAAATCTATTAGTAAAAAAGTGATCCAAATAATTACTAATTATAAAATTTCAAAATAATTAGATGCCATTGTTATCAAGAAAACACATCTGTTCGCTTGGCAACACAAGGTGAAGCAACTCAAGGTGAATTACTAAGTTTATAATTAAATGTAGATTTACTATAATTTGAAATTTTAATTTTAGTACTTTTTTTGACAAAATATTTTTAGCTAAGTATTTGGTTTCCTTTTCTAGTGTTGTCTAGAGTTGGATTATGATGGATTTATACGTTCTGGTGCTTCTGCTAAAATTAAATCTAAGTTATTTTCAGTTAAATCTGCAATATATGTAGGTGATATAACTGCTTGATGTAAGTAGTTGTCATTTATATATTCAAAAAATTTGGTGGGAAAATTTTTTCACATTATTTTCTTTCCATGTAATGGGTAATTAAAATCTCTTGTAATTTGCAAACCAAAATACCTATTATGATCAATATTATTTTAAGCTGCTTCAATTATTTCACAGGTAGAATTGTTTGTTTCTTCAGATGCATCAGCTTGCCCATAAATACAACCAAGTAAAATTTTTTCATCTTTTATACTTAAAATACACCAAGTATGTGCTATATTATTGTTTTTAGTGAAACTATCAGTTGGTGAGTAAACTAAAAAACATTCTTTTATGTAGATAGCAACACCGCCTCCATGTATTTTGATTAAATTTCTGTTTGATCTATTATTATGGATTATTGATAACCATTTACATGTGTAAATGAATTTTTAATAAACCAGGTTTCAGTGATCATGTAGATATCAGGTTTAAAGGATGCAATATCTAATGAAAGCAAGTCAAATTTATTGTTTAACGATGTAGCATTGTGTATCTACAATTTATACTATTTTTAGATATCTATGTTATGTTTTTCGGAATCAATTACATTAACAATCTGATATTTTTTAACGCTCATAGCCATTGAACTTGTTGCAATTTTGTTCTCATTAAATTTATTTATATACAAAAGTGATTTGAATAACTAATATTTAAACTGGTTGATTGCTAATTTTGAGTCGGTTTTAGTTTTACTATTTTGTAATCTCTGATACCATAATATATTGATTGTGGAATAGTAATTGAAGTAATAAATTCTTTAACTTGATTTCTTAATTAATACATCAAGTAACTTTCTGCCTCAGTCATATCAACATTAAAATAAATCTTTACTTTTTTATTTAAATTTTTGACTGCTGCCATCGCCATAACTATTAATATACCTTTTTGCACAAATTTTTAAAAATATTTTATAAATGTATTATTTTTTCTTGAAACAATAGCACTAGATTTATATTTGTTTGGAACTTTTACAAAATTACGCCCATTATCTTGAAACAAGGTTATCAAAAAACAATTTATATAATTAATTATTCCATAGTTGTAACAATTTTGGGTTTAAAATCAATATATATCTTTTGGGTTTAAGAATTTATATATTTATATATATATATATATATATATATATATATATATATATATATATATATATATATATATATATATATATATATATATATATATATATATATATATATATATATATATATATATATATATATAGATATAGATATATATATATATAGATATATATATATATATATATATATATATATATATATATATATATATATATATATATATATATATATATATATATATATATATATATATATATATATATATATATATATGGCAGGAATAAATAAGCACGAGAGCGAAGAAAAGCTCTCCTAAAACGAACTCGGGCTGCTCATTTAAATCAACGCTCTTTTTTAATTTTGATTTTTTTTTTTTGCAGCAACCGTGCTTTTTAAAATGCATTGCTGTATATTATGCAATTAATTTTTTTAAAATGACATCGTGTTTTTTATTTTACTTACAACAATAATTATATTTTTGTAAAAAAAATTATACTTTTGCGAGATATATGTATATATATATATATACATATATGTGAGATATATGTAAGCTCTGGCTTACATATATCTCACATAACTGTATATATATATATATATATATATATATATATATATATATATATATATATATATATATATATATATAAATATATACATATATGTGAGATATATGTAAGCTCTGGCTTACATATATCTCACATAAATGTATATATATATATATATATATAATAGTAATGGTAAAATAAAAAGTTAAAGGATTATTAAAGAGCTAAAATGACCATAAGATTAACAAAATGACCAAATTGGACTCCTGAATTAAGTGATTTCTTTTTGATGATAATGATTTCTAACCCATTGTTTGGTTATTAAACAATGTGTTTAAAAAAGCTTACTATCCCCAGCTTTGACAATTGTAAACATTATTTTGTGATAGTAACCATGTTTATAAATAAAATAAGTTCTTAAAATTAACAAAATAAGTTGTTTTTATGGATAGAAAAGATACAGTTGCCAAACAAAACTAGAAATAAAAAGTATACACAAACAAAATAGAACATCCAATCATTCTCATATACTTTCATTCCATTATACATAACACTACTCCAATCTTCTCCAGTAATTACCTGTTAAGTAATTTAGATAACAAAAAAAAATTAGAACATTAATTTAAAAAGTGTTTAAAAAAACTTTAAATTGCTAAAAGAAATATATAAAAGACTTTCCATCCATATTCATTCAGCATAATAACAATGACCTCCACCTAAAATATGTATGCATAGGTTGTTTGACAGTATTTTGTTTGACAGTATTGACAGTATCCCATATATTATATACTTCTCTGAACTATCAAGTAGCTCACCTCATTCTCCGTAAATATTTCTATGCATCCCTCTCAGCTTCATATTGTTATATATTCTGATATATTATAATTTTATTTAACAATATATTTTTGTTTTATAAAATTTTTTATGTTTAACAAATAAAATGATTAGGAGAGAGTGGGACACCTTGATAGATTATAGTTGTGGAGGCATCTTAAGAGTTGTGACAACTACTTTCATATGGTGAAGTTACTACTAGAGTAATGCTTTCACAAAAAAAATTATATCATTTTTAATATCAGTCTGCATTTGATATTATTAGACCTACAAGGGATTGAATTTTGTGTTTTTTTTTTTCTTATAAAAAAATAATTAATTTTTAAAGTTGCTTTTTTTTAAGGTATGTTATTTATGTGTCTATCCTTAAGTAAGATTATTTTTTAAACTACAATCCATAGGCTCTTTACTTCATTAAACAAAATTATAAAAAAAAAAAAGTTAATACTAAAAAACCAATTGTTTTCATATAGCAAGTATGGGTTAACTTAATACAGCATTTGTGAGTGTGTGAGGAAAGGGGGGGATGAGTGTAGACTGAAAAATAGTTCTCCATTATGCCATAAACAATCCTATAAATCATTTCTTTTAATATTTACAGTCATTTTTAAAGAGATTTATGTAAATATATTACAAGGAGATCCAATATTGATACAAAGCCATTATTTATTGACACTTAAGAATGACATTTAAAATGATATATTATCTGGACTTCTGAAATGTGATTTGGACCATTATTTCCGTTATAACTATTAATTTGTTTGTCTTTCAAATAGAAATCTACATTTTCTTTAAGTTTTGGACTTTTTATTTACTTTTTAAAAAATGCTCATAGGTTGTATTGAGGTCCACTCATGTGGTACTTGGTATCTGTTTGAAACCCACTACGAAAAACTACAGTTTAAAACCCATGATTAAAAACAACCATGGATGGGGTACTTGACACCTTTTTGAAACTCAATTGAGTTGCTATGAGAAGAGTTAGATAGAAATGTGAGAAAAAATAATTCAAAAACACCTTTGGATTTTCATACAAACATGCTGGAATCAAATATCAAATGAATTATTGTAGAAATTGATTGTAAGGATGCACAGAGCATGTGCTGCTGTTATAAAAATGAAAGGAAAATACTTCTAAAATATAGAAAAAATACTGAAGGATTTTTTATGCTAAATTATTTTACAACAACTTTTAATTTAATAAAAAAATAAAAATAGACTGGATGATCTTCCTATTTTGATAAAAGAAATTTTGTAATTGTTTATTTTATTGTAAACAACATAAACATATGATAACATATTGTAAACAATATAAATATGAATAAAATATTTTTTTGTGTGCATATTATCAAATTTATTAAGTAAACCCAAAGCTTTGACTAGTAGTGTACAAATATATATATATATATATATATATATATATATATATATATATATATATATATATATATATATATATATATATATATATATATATATATATATATATATATATATATATATATATATATATATATATATATATATATATATATATATATTCCTGCATGGGCGTCTTTAAGGTTTTACCATAAAATGTCAGTTTTAGATTTTTTTAAATTTTAAAGACCAAAAAAAAATTTTTTTTTTTTAATTATTTGATAGACTGCCTGCCTAAACCAAACCCTCAGTTGATGACAGCACTCAGCACTCAATTCGAGTCAGGCTATTTGTCAGTTGATGTAGCAGGATTCTGTTGCAAGTTGGGCTATAAGGTAGTCGATGTAGAAACACTTTGCACATATTTTACAGTAAAAAAAAAACAAAACATTCTAGTCTTTTAATATATATGTATATATGTATATATATATATATATATATATATATATATATATATATATATATATATATATATATATATATATATATATATATATATATATATATACTAATAAATAAAAATTAATAATTGAAAACTTGTTACAAACCTGAAATACTGCAAGAATAGAGTTAGTGAGACCATTAAAATTTGGAACTTGCAAACTCTCAATTCTAAAACAAGATTTAAATGTGTCGAATGTATGCAAAAATCTTTTAAATCAATAATTAGCAGACAAAAAATTAAATAATAAATATTAATTTAAAATTAAATAATAAAGCAAGTTCAAAAAACAACTAAAATCTTATAACAAATAATTATTATAATTTTATAACAAATCAGGTAAAAAATTGGTAGAAAATCTCAAGAAAAAAAAAAGTGATAAATTGAATGAAAGTAAAGAACTTGGAAATTGGAAGAAGATAAAGTAATAAAAAGTATATATATATTTTTTTTATTTGCATTCACTCCCAACGAGGCTGCAAGCAACCACTATCAAGTTGGGAGTTACTAGGAAAAAAAAGAACAGAGTTATAGAACAAGGAAACGGTTGACAGAAGACTTGAAAAGTTGAAGGTTGTATGAGTCAGGAAAACATGAAGATGGGAGAGAGTTCCAAAGGATTGAAGTGTGGGGAAAAAAACTAGATGAATAAAAGTTTTTAGAGCATGCAGGGACAGATACAGTAAACAAATGAGACTTAGCTGAATGACGAGTAAAACAAGAATGAATTTTAGTTGATGGAACTAGAGATGATAACTCCTTTGAGCAGTGACCATGATAGTATTTGTAGAAAAGAGAAAGAGATGCAACTTTACGACGATGGGAAAGAGGTTCCAGCTTAGCAGATAGTCTAGGTCCAACAACATTTACAATGCGTTTTTGGACCTTGTCAAGATGAGAAAGTGAATCGTTAGAAGAACCAGCCCAAATATGACAACAGTATTCCATACAGGGACGAATAAGAGATTTGTAGAGGTAGAGAATGGAATCAGAAGTAAGAAAATGGCAAGCACAATAAAGAGAAGCAACCTTAGCAGAAGCTAATTTAGCAATCGATTGTATATATGGTTTCCATGAAAGGTCAGTAGTAAGCGATAATCAAAGAAGACGTAAAGAGAACGACTCAGTAAGAGGATTGCCATTCATTAATATAGGAATGTTGACCATATTACGGTAGTTGTTTGCAGTAAGCAACTGGGTTTTTTTAGAGTTGAAATTCACAAGCCACTGTGAACCCCAATCTATTACTGAAGTGAGATCAGATTCAAGATCAGCTGCTTGTTCTAGGCGATCAAAAAGAGAAGACTTTTTGTCAAGACAGGTGTATAAAGTTGAGTCATCAGCAAAAAGAGTTACTTTAGATGAAAGGTTGTCAAGAAGATCGTTTATGTAGATAAGAAACAAAACAGGGCCTAGGATGGAACCTTGGGGAACCCCAGAAGTTACTGGAAATAAAGAAGAGTGTTGGCCTTCAAGAATGACTTTAATAAACCGGTTAGAAAGAAATGATTTGATAATCTCAAAAACTTTCCCAGAAACACCATAAGAAGCAAGCTTATGGAGAAGACCAGCATGCCAAACTTTGTCGAAAGCTTTAGATATGTCGAGAGCAATAGCCCTAGCTTCACCGCCTCCATCTAATGCACGATAAAATCTTTCAGTTACAGCAGGTAGCAAGTTGGTCGTAGAGAGAGAGGATCGAAAACCGTATTGATTGTCTGACAGCAGTTTATTTGACTCAAGATGAGATGTGAGGAATTTGTTGATCAAAGACTCAAATCAAAGACTCAAATCAAAAAAACACAGTTAAAAGTTTTTTAGATGTAATTAATAAAATATACACACACACACACACAAAACGGTTCTATAGAGATGCAAGAAAATATGGTAAAGGAATGCAAAAGTGAATTAAGTTGTTGAAAAAATTTTGAATAATTCAAATAAAGTCTGAGAATCAAGCAACAAGAAACAGGGTGCTTGTCAAAATACTTAGAAAAGCAAGCTGTTTTCAAAACTCAACCAGAAGATATAGGTGACGCTAAATTAAAAAGACAAAAAAAAAACACAGTGTTAAGAGTTGTATTAAAAATAGTAAGAAAAAATAGAAATTTTTTCAGAGAAGACAGTATTAAACAAAAAACAATATACAAAAACAAGATAAAGAAGTTATTTTAAAAACAATATTTTGCTAAATGATAAGGTCAGTGGAAATAAATAAGACTTTTTGCAAGATTAAATATATATAGTAGGTTACTATTATTTATGATTATTATATTAAAACTGATGAAAAAAATGAACTAAGTAAAATTAGCTACTAATATGGTTCAGACACATAAAGTTTCTGGTATTTTTGCAAATTATATATAATTTCTGGTGTATTAGTTGATTCTTTAAAGGGCTCAAGAAAACCAATCTCCTTGTACCCTTTAAAATTTTTAATGGAATGAAACCTTTGCAAATTCCTAAATAATTTGCAAAAAAATTTAAAGTAAAGTTTGTAATAAAGGTCAAAACATACTACAGTGACATGGAGAAACAAAATTGCTTAATTAAGTAATAAAGATTTTAGAGAAAGCTATTGTTTATATAAAGAAGTAGTCTACTTATCGATAATATATGAAGCAGTGTGTTTATTAAAAACACACAATTTGGCATTTTGGGCCTGGGAACAACTAATGAAATATTTATTAGAAAACAAAATCAAAAATGGATTTTCAAAAAAAATAATTAATGAATAGCATTTGCTGAACTTAAAAAAGCAAAAAACACCAACAGAGGTATATATAAAGTAATCACAACACCAATCAAAAACCAAAGATGAAAAAAAAGAAAGTCTTTTGCTTTTCAGAGGAAAAAGAAAAATTGCTATTAAAATTTCAGTGTTAGATTAAATAAAAACAAGAGATAAACATAAATAAAACAAAAACTACACATGGGTAAAGCAAGTATAACAAGGATTTAAAAAATACTGGATTTATATATTTTTTAGTTTTAATAGTAGTAATGTAAGTAATGTAGTAGTGTTTTTTAATTATTATTTTTTAATGGAAAGTACTTTAATACAAAAAAGACAAAAATAAATAGCAGTAAAATAAATAATTTAAATAGTTAATTGTTATAAATATTTATTATTATAAACTATTAGTTTTTAATGGAAAGTACTTTAGCTAATAATAATAACAAAAGTAAATAGTGGTAAAATAAATAGCTGTAAAAAAATTGAATGTTTCCACAAGTTTTGATATCTTAAAGATGAATGAATCAACTGGTGGATCAGATGAAGAATCAAGATCAAGTGTAAAATGTTTCTGAGCTAAGTCCAGGAAAAATATTTCCACTTCCAACACCATTGTGCTTTCAATCATTTATTATCTACACTTGCAACATCATTGAATATTAAAGATTATGTACAATATGGAAGAGTGTTATGATGTATGAAAATTAAAAATAAAGATTGATGGTATTCAGTGTCTTGAGGAGATAAAAAATTCTGAAGATAAAAAGGAGATAAAAAATTGAGGAGATGATAAAAAATTCTGAAGATAAAAAAAAAATCAATCAAAAAGAGATTGGAAATAGTAAGTGTATCTAATTGAATGCATCAGGAAAGGTTTGGGTGTTGATGTTGTTTAGGTGTGTCGGGCGTAAAGATGGTTGTATACCAGCAATTAAAGAACTTTCAGAAAAAAAAGGTTAAAGTAATAATAAGAAACATTGACAAATGTTTCAGATGATATAAAAAAGCTTCAATTAAAAAAAGAAGAGGCTCAAGGTTGTGTGTATTGGAGAAACAGCATAATGAGATGCTCGACATGTGCGTTATTGGACACACCAAGGATGCTAAAATAATGATGATGAACTAAATGAGTAAATTATTTTTGAATTTTTTGAATGAATTTTTAAAGTTATTTAACTAATGAGAACTTAACGAAACTAAATTACTGTTTCATTTAGTTTATGGAAAGTTTTAAAAAAATTTACAAAATTAGAATGCAATAAACAGTTCAATATTACAAATGACTGTTGTGATGATTTGATTGTAACATAAAACAACATGTCAAAAATAACTGATGTTATGTTTTGGTTAAGAAAGTTGTCAAGAAGTCAAGGTAATGTGTAATAATCCTTATCTACATGAATAAAGTTAAAAATTTATTTTAAAAATATTAAACCTTCCAGATAATAAATGCATTCCCAGAAGTGCATTAATAAATATGTAGAGAAGGAGAAGGAAAAAAAGACTGAGTATTGATTTCATAGCGCTTTTAAATGATGCAACAATATGTTGAAATCTTGACCAGTACCTATAATCATATAAAAGAAAAAAAGAAAATGTAAAAATATTTTTATAGTTTAAATAAAATTGAATTTATTACAAGCATCACTATGAGATCACAATAACATAAAACAATCTAATTTAATTGTTTGCATGGTTAATTAGTTTATAAAATGTTTTATAAGTTTAACTGATACTTGTACAACTATTTGAGGTCTGAGTACTCAGGATATTTCCTTTAGAAAAATTAAACTAAACAGGAAAAATTGAATACAATGTAAAAAAATCAATTACTTTGTAACTTTAAAAACACGAAGTAAGATAAAGCAACGCAAAGCAGGTAAACCAAAAGACCAATTTGAGAAAACCTCTATGGAACTTAGAAAAACAACCTGAAAAAAATTAATTACAAAATTATCTTTATAAAAAATATAAACTTAAAACTTGATAAAATGTTAGTAAGTTATGAATAAAATTTGTTAGTTCAAAAAAAATATGCACTTAATATAAAAGAGCATGCAAGGCTTAACTACACAAGAAAAGATAATTGAATTTGTCTTATCAAGTTTGGCAGATAGAGCAGGTCCAACTATATTTACATAATTTACAGCTTACAGTAAGCGTTTACAGTTTTGATCTTGTCTAAAAAAGAAAGAGCATCATAAGAAGAACCAGGGACAAATAAGAGATTTGTAGAGGTAGAGAATGGAATCAGGAGTAAGAAAATGGCAAGAACAATAAAGAGAAACATCTTTAGCATATGCTAAATTTGCAATCGATTGTATATATGGTTTCCATAAGTAAATGGTAATCCAAGAAGAGGTAAAGAAGAAAACTCAGTAAAAGGGTTGCCATTTTTCAATATAGAATTTTTGACAATATTTCGATAGTTATTTGCAGTAAATAACTGAGTTTGGTTAAAGTTAAATTTCACAAGCCACTGCTAGCCCCAAGCTGTTACAGAAGATTCAAAGAAGACTTTCTGTCAAGACAAAAGCATTAAGTTAAGTCAGCAGTAAATAGATAAACTTTATTGAAATTTTTCGATATGTCAAGAGTAATAGCCCTTGCATTGCTGCTTTTATCTATGAACATCAATGAACTTGTCAAAGAACAGTAGAGTCTTTAAAAATAGCAGTTAGCAAGTCAGCTGTAGAACAAGAGAATGAAAAATTGTTTATATATATATTAAAATTAATTGTTAGAAAATAAGTTAATAAATACAAAATGGAATGTTATAAATTTGATGAATAATAACTCAAAGGTCTTGCTAATAATAGAGAGAAGACTGTTTGGAAAATATTTGAAGGATTTTTAATATTCTCCAGAGATTTTTTAATAGTTAGAACAACAGATGCCATTTTCCAGCAAACAGGAAAGCAAGATTCAATCAAGCACTTATTAAATAGTTTAGAAAGAATTGAAGAGAGTTCTGATAAACACTTTTGCAAGACTATGACAGAAATGTTGTCTGAACCACAAGCCATAGAAGAGTTTAATAGAAAAATGACTTAAGTAATAGAAGCTGGAGTGATTTGAATATCTAAAAATGGGTTAACCTGTTTAATTGGAATGGAAGAAAGAGAATGACCATGAGATTCATGAGTCGAATTAAGTCAATTGAGTCAATATACCAAACTCGTTTAACTGGAATGGTAGGAAGAGTATAATCATTAGATTAAAGTATCAAATTAGAGGAAAAGGTCTTTGCAAGTAGTTTTGCTTTATCTTCGGGAGAGATAATAAGATCTATGAATTGAAGATGCAATGTTTGATTTAAAATGTTCTGAAAGTAGAGAGCCTAACTGCTGAGATAAAATACGAGATTTAGTAAATGGGATTAATATTAAAGCTTAGTTGCAGACAGCACCTTCTTACAATAATAAAAAGACATTTGTTTACCAGAGAGTGAAAAATTGTGAAAAATATGAAAAAAAGATTATGATTAAACCATTTATACTAGTTACATAAGAAGGCAAAAACGGCTATGAGGCTTCACTTGAAACTAATAAAAAGAAATAAAAGCTACTTTACCTTTCAAGAGGTTACATAAGAGGCGTAATTATCAGCGTAATTATCAGAGAGACAAAATACATCAGCTCAAGAACCTTCACAAAAAAAATCACAAAAGATTCCGTCAGTCAAAAGTCAGCTTTTGGCTAGTAATAAGTAAGTAGTGTGATGATAAGGTAAGTTAAAAAAAAAATTACAAAGGGTTAATAGAAATCATTGCATGGTCAGAACCGCCTAAAGAAGAACAAGGGTAAACTGAAATGCCTTGGTATCTTTATTTTATATCAAACAGTGTTGTACCCTGATGTAATCCCAGACCATTTGAATGGTATAACCACCCAAATCAATGTGTCCTAACTGTATGTGCCCTTACTGTATGTTCCTTAAGTTATAAATTCCAATATTAATTTAGCAGAGGACTTTATCAATGTTGCTTACTTATATTTTATATATGAGTAAGCAACATTGGAATATGGAATTCCTTGAATTTAAGGTATGATTTTATATTGTTAAAAGTAAAATGGCACTGTAAGCATACTTTAAAGTACCATGTATTTAAATTTAATTTTAAATCGCGTTAAAATTTTTCAAACAATAACTATAAATAAAAAATATTAAAGAAATCTAAATTTCTAATTTGAAATTGATTTTATTTCTTTATTACTTATTTCTTAAAATTATTTTATAACATATTATTCTTTTGTTTTTTTGATTACAATTTAGCTTTTTTATTTTAGTTTTTTACAAGTTTTTTAATGAACTATTTGTAAACAATTAATAGGTATACTTTTATGTTACTATTAAGATATATTTAAACATAATTTGTGTTCATAAATATAGTCATACAATTTAACATGTAAGTGAAAAAAATTCTATTAAACAAAAATATTTCTCCTTTCTTAAAACAAAAAATGAAGTTTTACACATCTAAATCTATGATAGGGACTTTCATAAAATGTTTACAAATATTTTTATGAATTCAAACATTTTTATGTAATGAATTAATTGGAAATAAAAAAGAAAAAATTATTTCTTTAAGAAGTATTGCAAAATCATTTTATATTTTTTTAAAGTAAAAATTAAAATTAAATTTTCATAATTATATTTAAAGTTTTTTATTGAAAAAATTTTAAATATGTTTTTTGAAGGTGGAGGGGTAGGGGTGGGGGATTTTACAACAGTTACCACCCAAATTATCGCTGGGTACAGTACTATAAGGATATCTATGAATTTTTGAAAAACCTTAAAAATGATAAAATACATCATATATTTTCATATAATGACAATATATGATTTATTATACTTGTAATAAGTTTTATGCACGATACAAATATATTTTGCACACTTAGACATTTAAATGCTAATTTTATGGAAGGTTTTTAGAAGAAAATTACAAAATTAATTTAAAAAATTTTTCTACAATGAACTTTTTTAATACTTTTTTTAATACTTTTTAATACATAGCTTTACATAGATTGTATTTTACCAAACAAAAACCATCAGGTAATTTATGTTAATTTATGCCCCCAAAATGGTTAAAACAGTTATAAGTGACTTTTCATGCGCTCCTATCTCTACATATAAAGATATTTATTAAAACAAAAATATTGTACGATCTTAAAACAAGATATTCTTAGTATATCAGGTCTGAAAATAGTAGCTTTGAATTGTGTTAAAAAATTAGACAAGTTAAATAACCTTTAAAATTTACCAAATATTTTTGTAAGAACAATTATACTATTCAATATGATTTGCTATAAAAATTTAATTATCTAGGTTTCAAAAAATGCTATATTGATGTATTGAAAAAAATTTTCTGCTTTTAAATTAATTAAATTTTTGAATCTCAAAGAAAAAATTTAAATAGTTTTGATCTAAAAGTAAAATTTAAATTGTTTTAAAAAATTTTAAAATTTCTGAATTATTTTTCAGTTTTTTATAATTTTTTTCGAAAAAAAATCAGGAAAAACTTACAACAAATTCAAAAATGTGAAATGATGATCTGCAATATCCTTTTAATGTGAATGCAAAAACTTTCAACATTAACTCAACAATAAATATGCTTCCCAACACTCTCTCAAAATGAACTAAAAAAAAGATTTTCAACATAAGAAATTATTTCTTTAACTTTAACTAACCTTTACTTAAACTTCACTTACTTTTTAAGTCATCAAGCCAACGAGGCTGGCCAAAATGATAGGTGGTCATAAAAATAGTATTAAGAAAAACAATTGAAAGAACAAACCAGAAGAAAATTTTATGCTTAACTAATTTCCTTGCTTTTAATTGCAAAGATTTTATATATAAAATAAAATGGATTCTTGATGTTTTATCTTTTTGAATCTTAAATAATCCACTTGAACAATCCTCTTGAATGATTTCTGTGAAATACTTTAATGCGTTAAACTTATTGTTGAAACTTTTCACCTCAGCAATCACCAATTCTTCTAAAAAATAATTAAAAAATTAAAACGAAATAGTTTTTTGTAAAAATAAAGTTGCAATTTTATTTTTAAAAATACAACAACAATAGCAAACTTAATGCAAATTGTAAAAATAAGTGTAAAAATATAGTAAAAACAGTAATAAATAGAAGTGTTTCCAAGTATGTTAATATGATTAGTTGGTAATTAAACATATTTAGTAACACAAATCTATAATGTTTCGGAGAACATCAAATTATGTAGTTATAATTTTAATCATTAAAAAGTTAGAGTTTTTGTGTGTGTGTCACAGATGAGTTTTAACTTTATGAAAATCCCTTAAAATCATTTTTTTTTTTTTTAATTTCTGAAAAATCTCAAAAAACTTTTCAGTCAACAAATTGGTAAAGGAAATTCTAAAGAGAAAAAAGGTAAAGTAACTGAAAAGTACTGAATAACTGAGTTTTTTTAAACACTTTAAACTATTTAATATACTTTAAATTTGCACATTTTGTAGCAAAGCCTTAGATGTAAAAAGAGAATTGAATTTACTTTTTTTATAGAACTTTTTTTCTAATGTTTTTTCTATAGAAAAAAAAAGTTTAAAGCAATTTTTATAGAAATTAATAGACATTCTATAGAAATTATATAGAATTTCTTTAGGCCATATGTTTCAAAAGTTTATAAAAATTCTATAGAACTATTTTTCCCTGGTGTGTATACAAGTATACGAAAGTAATTATTACAAAATCAATTTTTACAAAAAAAAGACATTTAGACCAATGAACTAATTTTTTATTGTTCTAGATTTTCATTCTTTAACAAAAATAAAGAAATCTAAGATTAAAAGTAAAGTCTAAGATTTTGACAAAATAGATATAAAAAACAGTTATCAATATCTAAAATCAAGACTAGGTCAAATTTTAGTTTTCAGTCATCACCATGCTGTATTAGGGTAAAACTCAAGACTTAACAGTCTTTTTTTTAATTTTTTATAATATTTGAATAAACAAAAATATTTAGAATATGTTCTCGGTTGAGTGATCCCTTTACACAATGATGATGTAATCCCTATATCCCTATGTTATGCGGCCATCACCTTTACCTTATTTAAGTTTATGTCACTTTTTATGCAGTGTTATCTCAAGGCCAAGATTTTTAAAATATTTAGCTAGGTCCTTAAACCAACTAAAGAAAGCCATTCAAGAGGAAATTAAAAAGACTTTCCTAACATGCCTAAGAGCAGATAAATCTTCCAAGAATGGTTCTAAATAGCATCATTCATCAATATCCTCACAACCTTTGGAGTCCTCATTTCTATGTTTTATGGTAACCCTTTGTATCAAATTTTTTTTGCTGACCTGATGCCGACCTCTAACAGTTTGAGGGTGACAATTTATTGCTGACCTTATTTTTTCTAATTTCAAGGGTTGTCATCATGTGACATGTCAAAATGTGTATCAGTCATCAAAATCTTGGATTGCCATCGTTATGCCAATATAATTAACAAACTATGTGAAAAAAAAATTTTGTATCTATATTTAAAAATAAAATATTTTTTGTACCTCCTTCTAAAATCCAGTTTAAGTAAAACTCAAATGATTGATCTAATTTTATCTTTTCACGAAGCTTTATAAACTCACTTTTATGCTCAACTTTAGATCTTTCTTTAGAGAACTCCCTATGAAAATATTAAAATATATGTTGATAGTTCAAACATATACATACATACATACATGCATACATACATACATACATACATACATACATACATACATACATACATACATACATACATACATACATACATACATACATACATACATACATACATACATACCAGAGGTGTATACTCGTGGTCACCTGATGGTACCAGATGACCAAATTTTGAAAAAAAATGCAATTAATCTGCTGAATCCAAAAATTTTTAAAAAAAACAGTAAAGGACATCTCAAAAGGTTGGTCCCCAAAATTAATGAACACTCACCCTTCCGGCAACCGACCAAGAATCTGAGTGTAGACTGCATGCATACATTCATACATACACACATACATACATACATACATACATACATACATACATACATACATACATACATACATACATACATACATACATACATACATACATACATACATCGTGTATATGTATATATATATATATATATATATATATATATATATATATATATATATATATATATATATATATATATATATATATATATATATATATATATACATACATATATGTTCATTTAAATTCATTAAATATTTGTTAAAGTTATAAAAACATAAAAAAGTTTCTGTTTTATAATAAATTTTTTATAAGTAAGCAAATATATTTTAAGAAAAAGTGTTTTTTTCAATATACTTATATTTAAAATATATATCATATTTTATAAATATATATCAAATATATATCATATTTTAATATATATTATAAATATATATATTATATTATAATATGTATTTATAATATATTATAATATATTATAATATATATAATATAATGCGGTATATCATGCGGTAGTGGTGTAGTGGTAGAGCGCTTGCTTCATAAACGAGTGGTTCCGAGTTCGATCCCCACCACGTCCCTAGTAGTACCGCGCTCAACTCATTTCTCCGCGCAGCGGCCTTGCTCGTCAAGATTCGTGTTTTGGAGTTATAGAGTTGAGAGATGGTTATTACCACAAATAAGTAGCCTCCTCGTCTGTAGTGACCTTCTCTGCCTTGAGGAGGTGAATTAAAATAAAAATAAATAAAAAAATATATATATATAAATATTATATTATAAAAATATATCAAATATATATCATATTAAAATATATATCATATTTTATAAATATATATCAAACTTAAGAACCTAGAATCATGAAAAACAATAACTCTATGTAATAAATTTTTTTTTTTTTTTTATGCTGGGTTGAAATTGTGTTTTCCTAACTTGTTTTGCCAAAAACAAATAAAAAAAAGCTGTTGTTCTACAAAAACTTTGATAACAATTTTTTCAAAAGCTGTCCAAAGTTGGTATCTTCAACCAACTTCAGATTAACTACAGAAGATGATAGAATGCAAACCAAGTTCCTGAACAGAAAAAGCAGTTTGTACGAGTTTTATATAAAATAAATTATAAAATAAGTTGTCTTTTATAGTCTTTTTTAATTTCTAAAAAATTATGTGGTACAACAAGTTTTAATTCTTGGCTCTGAGTTGTTCTTCATCTATTCTAATAGCAATCCTAATATTCTATAAAACCTTTACAAATCTACCTCTAAATCTATTAGCTGATTATACAATTATATACACTAAGATTTTATTCACTTTTTTAAATCACTTTTTTGAATTCAGAATATTTGTTTATAGAAGAATGATAATATTTTGTAATACGCTTTTAATTAATTCATTCAGTTACTTTACCAACTTCTGTTTTTAAGGACTGTTATATTGCATTCTTCATCAGGTATATAAACATAAGCTTTCTTTTATACTTTTTCACATACTTTCCACATTTCTTTCAGACACCATTTCTACCTTGAATGCTTTTTTTTTAAAACAACTAACTACTTTTTAAACCCGGCATTTACATACAATGATCTCTTAGTTTTTAACCGATTTCGTGCCACAAATAACTAATTTGTGCTAGTATTACTTTTAAGATTTTTTTTCTGATTAATATACAGTCTCATTGTGTCTCTAAGCTACTTGACTCATAAGTTACCTGCTGTCTCTAAGCTACTTGACTCATAAGTTACCTGCTGTCTCTAAGCTACTTGACTCATAAGTTACCTGCTGTTTATCTTTTTGTCAAAAACATGTATTCCAGACTGTTAATCTCATCTGAAAATTATAACAACATTTTTTCATAAATATTTCGTAAGCCAAACCTCTTTCCACTATGTATTATTAAATTCACTTCTTTCAGGTTGCAGAAGGATACTATACTTAAAGTGGCTACTCTTTCTTTTTTATACTGTGAACCAATCAACCAATCAAACAGTGAACTAATCAAACAAAGTAAATCTATAAAGAAACATGTTGAGGGTAGTACTTAAAGCATTAGGTAGATTCGAACTTTCAACCTCTTAGTTGTTGGCCGAAAGTTCTTCCACTAGTCTACTACAGCATTATTCTACTATCACAAAATACCTTTATATCCAATCCAGAAGATATTCTACCAAATTCAATAATATTGTCATTTGTGAGTCATTTGCAAGTCAAAATATATTTATATCTTCAATTTTAAAAAGTTTTCGTTTGATTGAGTTGGAAATTATGTTTAGAAAAACCACAATATGCCTGTGAAAGCTTATGACTCCTGGATTCCAAAAATATAAAAAATCAAATCATCCTATTACTTCTGACAAAGAAAATCACTTTTGAAAATTTTTATTTTGCACATATTCATGAAATGACAGCATTCTCGAAATTTTATATTTTTACAACATATCTTAACATTCAAAAAGGTCTTTGAAAATAATAAAACCTACTTAACATAATAAAGAAACAAAAAATATGAAAATGTGAAAGATTTTATGTTATAAAATTGGTAGTAATCCAAATAGGTAAAAGATCACTTGGGTAAAATACTGCTTTTCTGAAAGTTTTTTCTAATAAGTTAACTCTAGAACAATTTCAATAATATTTTTTTTTAATTTGCACTTTTTGAATAATATTGGTAATTTTAAATTATTTTTAAGAATTTACCAAAAAATTCCGGGAAAAGGCAGTTAAATATTTTACCAAAAAATATTTTACCAAAAAATAATTTATTAAAAAAATTTCGGGAAAAGGCAGTTTACTACAAATCAAAGCTTTTGAAGGTCGATTTTTTAACCTTTTCTCCTGAAATAAATTGAAAATGCCTAATCATGCAAGAAGTCATGATGAGAACAGAAAAGTTGTTTGTATCATGTGTCTTAGAAAAGGAAATCATGAATTGACACCATTTTAGTTCAGCAAAATTCAAAACAACTACAAAAAGCAGTTCAACTTTGATGATCCAAGAATTCCTCAAGGTCTTTGTGATCCGTGTAGACTGGCCCTTGGAAAGTGTGATCAAGAGCAGAAGGTTTTGTCCAAGCTGTTTCAATTTGAAACCATTGATATAAAAGCTCACACACGTGGTCTAGCTTGTGAATGCTTGATTATTAAATAAATAAATGATAAATCTAAAATAATCTGAAGAATCATCTACACCAAATCATCATCTACACCAAAATATACAGAATTTTATGTTTCTTCAATCTTTATTTTGGTTGATCATTTTTGCTGTCTTCCTAATTTGTCTCCAGAGCAGAAGGCTAAACATCTGCTCTGGAGACAACTAAACAGAGCAGAAGGTTTCTGCTCTGGAGGCAAAATAGGAAGTATTTAAATTGATTTGATTTAAATTGATTGATTTATTTAAATTATAATAATAAGTTTATTTAAATCAGTTTAAATCATGATTTAAATCAAACGAATAAAATTATTGATTTAAATTGAGTTTTTTGATTTTATTTGTTTTTAATGATTATTTATTGATTTAATCTCTTAATTCAATCAATTATTATAAACTATTCATTGGTCTTATAATAAAATGTCTGGCAATAATAGAAAGCTTTACATAAGTAGAATATAGATTCTAGTAACATAATTTTTTGTACACTGTTTTAATATGTTAGTAGATACGGTTTCACAATCAATCACAGAAAAAATCAAACCAAAGAAACATGTAAAACATCAGTTTCTAACATCTACAAGTACTCATATATAAAATTTTATATCTAATGACATTAGTGATATATTATTAATACCTTTAAAAATATATCTTATAATATCTAAACTATTATATATAAATTATAAAAATTTTTTTTTTTTCAATTTATTACTATATGACTTTTCAAATGTTTGATTTATTTAATAAAGATTGATAAATAAATCAAATATTTGAAATGCCAATACAGCAATGAGTATTAAAAAAAAATAACTTTAGGATCTTACACAAATATAATTTGATTATTGCCTTTATTATTACATTGATAATTTAGGTTGTAGTAAAATGTTATAAGCACATTATTTAAATGTTAATTAATATTTCATTATTTAAAAAAATAAAACACCAAGTCACAAGAACCTCTTGAAGTTTATTTCTTAAGAGGAACCTTTTGAGATTCTTAAAGACTAATAAATATAGCTTATTTTTTTTATTTTTATAATTTTAAAAAATGGAAAAATAATATCAAAACCTTTTTATATTCTGTAAAATGATACCACTTATAAAAAATGCTTTGCAACAAGTTTAAAAATGTACTAAAAAAATGATTTACAACACATTGGCCGAATAATAGCTACAGCATTAGTGTTAGAACAGATTTTTTATAGCAAAATATTAGGCTGAACTACATTGGCCAAATGTAGTTGAATCAGAAAGAAATCATTTTTTGTGACAAGTTACAACAACCAGTTGGTCTATAAAATAAATGATGAGAGTATCAGTGTGACAACAGATGTTTAAATTTGAGATAACAGATGATTTAATTTTGAGAGTTGATATGGTATCTTAAGTACAAAGAAAAAGTGAGATGGTTGAAATAGCAGCTAGATTATAACTAAACATAATTTCCAACTCAATCAAACGAAAACTTTTTAAAATTGAAGATATAAATATATTTTGACTTGCAAATGACTCACAAATGA